AGCTCGAACTTTACCACGTCAAAGCACAGACGATGAGGCACATCCCATTTAGCACCAGCTTCCCACTCGAGAACCCTGAAGACTGCCCCGCGGAGATGGTGCTTGACAAGCTGGGGGGACATGAGGGTCATGGAAAGCTCGATCCCCTTGTCAGTGACGAAAGTGGCGAAGTCCCTCATCGTCCACGAGATCCTCTCCAAGGACTTGCGCATGGCGGCCACAGGGCCACCTACCGCCCTCCACGAGGGGGAATCCTGAAGAAAAACACCTTCCCACGCTTGCCTCAGCTCCCTGAAAGGAATCGAGCCTTCAAAGGCCCTGACCTGAGAGCACCAAACTTCCTTGTGCCACCGCAAGATCGGGGAAACGGCCCCAACCCAAGCAGGGTCGCCTTCGAGGTGGGAAAGCACCGTCAGGGAGCGTTGGCCAGCTGAAGGCTTTATAGTCCTGGCCGCCGCACGGCGGATGAGCATCATCTCGTAGTCAGTAACCCCTCTAACCTCGCTGCCATACAGCAAGCCAGGGAGCGGTCCTGCAGTGAAAACTCGCAAAGTTCTCCTGGAACCAAGGGTCTTACGAAGTTTAGCCACTCGGCCAGTGCGTTTGATGAAAAGACGTCTCCTAATCACAAGCTTTTTGTTACGACCCTGGGTCCGAGAACTCTTCCCCACCGTGTCGTCCACCCCAAGGTTAACAGCACTGGAAGTAATGGGACCCGTGAGCTCAACTCCCAGTTTGGCCTGAATGGCCCTGCCAAGCTTGGCCGAGGAACAAATCAGGCTGGATTTGTCAGCCGCCACCTGCGCACCAATGCCATCAACGATGGCAGCGTGGAGCTGGGGCGCGCCTTCCGTGATGGCGTCCACAACAAAATTGAAACTGCCGACAGCACTGAGGCCAGAATCGTCGATGTAGAGCGCCAGTTGAGCACCCTGCCGTAACCTAACAGTATCGAGCGACTCCACCGCGTTAACCCTGATCAGGGTCGTGGCCAACGAACACCCCGCGATGATTCCAGAAGAAGCGTACCACGGACCGTCGATGCAGCCACCCAAGGAAAGAAACCTCGGGGCCCTGTAGGCCCGCACAGCCAACTTGGCCATGGCAATAGGGAAACCCAGCCTTATACAACGACCGAGGAGTCGCTCGAGATCAATGAGCTCGTAGTATTTAAACATGTCCTGCAGGAGGGTAGCCGCATGTAAGGAGTGGGTTGCCCCACTCTCGCTGCGGACGCTTTGCCGCCATACAACGTCTGAGGCCCCCTGGTACTTGCCCGCCGCAAAGTAGGGACGAGCGTGCGACCCCTCCCAGCTCTCGGCAAGGCACCGCCGCGCTTTCCCCCAGATGCGGTAAGGACCCATGAAACTCCCGATAGGGCGGAACCCTCCAGTAGGTTTACCCAGGAGCGCCAACACTGTGGCATCAAGCTGGAAGGGCAACATGCTGGAGATTTCCATGACCTGCAGGATCCTACACAGCGCCGTGACCCCAGGAAGGGAAATCATACTGAAATGTTTCATGTGGAAACCGTCCACGCCCACCGCCGAATACATCTTGTAGCTCCTCGAAATGCGGACCAACTCGTTGGGGTCCAAAGGGGGGAGCTCAGGGGCAGGAAAGAAATCGGCAATAGGTCCCAACTCCCGCGGGGAGTCAAAAGCGCGCCATAAATGAAAAAACTTATTGCGTTCAGCCTCGAGAAGGGACCTGGGGTCACTGACCACACAGCCGTTGGACGAGAGAGTGGAAGTAGGTTTCCAGGGCTTGGGTTCAGACGTGACCATGTGAGCTCGCTTGGCCCCCTGATCTATGTTCTCTCTCAGCCAACTACGCCAGGAAGCTAAACTGCGGTCCCTAGCTCTGGCTTCTGCCTGCGCGACCACGTCGGAGAACGAGAGAGACAGATCGAGAACGTCCTGCTCGAGCTCTCCGCTCGAGTCCAAATCAGCACGGGTGATCATGGACTGCAAGGTGATAAGCAACTCCTTATGGGCACCCAGATTATCGACCACGAAAGGGGGAGGGTGAAAAATGCAGGACCTCAGGGCCCTCGCAAAATCAACTCCACCACTCTTGGCCTTTTGGGAATTAGACGAAACATACACCTTGCAGTCCAAGATGCGATTATACAGCCACCTGACGGAGTACAGAAAGGGGTGCCTAAGAGGTTCCTTGTCCTTCGAGAAAACAGGCTTCCACATAAGCTGAGGACCCTTGCCTCTCGCACCCCAAACCGGAAGCGCCGATTGAGTGGCGTTGGCCACCTCCACTTCCGCAAGGTTGGCCCACCACTTGTAGGTGAGATTGAGCAGCCTTTGAGTTTCCGCCCCCCTCCCCGCCCTAGCAGCTACCAGAGCCGCCTCCAGCACGTCGAGAACAGGGTCCCAAGATGGGGGTTCCCGAGTGGGCCCTATGGCCCTTTGGGGGGGAAGGGGGGGAGGTTTCCGAAAAACCAAAACGTTGAGTTGAGCAGGCGAAGGGAAAAGCTCCAGATCCACAGGGGAGTGGGGGGTGAGAGGGGAATTGTAGTTGACACTCACCTGCCTGATAACCTTCGCGATGCCTGCCGAGACGACAAAGAAATCAGATACTTTGAGGCCCCCCGTGCTGCGGAGCGTGTAGCCTCCGTCTGTTGGGGTGATCATCTGGCCTTTGAACTCCGAAACGAAATGCGACTTCTGAAACTCACCTGGAGTCATGTTGAAATCGCCTCCCGCAATGACAGGGAGATCAGAATGTGAAAGTCCAGCTCCGAGACGCGACAAGATCTCCACGTTGCGCTCAGAAAGACCTTCGACGTCGTGGAGGTAGATCGATCCGACAAGGACCTGAAAACCTCCTGGAATATCTATAACACAAGCTCCAGCACGATGAGGGGACAGTACGAAGCCCGACGACAACGTGTGAAGCCCGAGATACGATCTAGCCAAAACTGCAACACCTCCTGAAGACCCAGTGCCCTCCCCACATGCGGCCGCCGCCCAACACGACTTCCACCCATGACGAAAGAGCCATTCGGACGCCTTGGAGATGTCTTCATCTGAGCATAAGTGATGTTCTTGGACTAACAAAACGTGTGCCGTGGTCATTGGCAGCCACTTATTCTTGAGTGACTGCCATCCTGAAACATTGCAAGTCTGCACACAGAGCCCGAAATTATCCAAATCAGGCGGAGGAGGGGGCTGGAGAGAGCCTTCAACAAGCACTCCCGCGGCCACATCCTGACTAAGGAGGGGAGACGAGCCAGCCGACATCGGTTGAGGTGGGCTAGGAAGGAGTCCGAGGAACAGGAGCCTCGGTAGGAGTGGCAGCCGTCGTCTTGGCACGCTTGGCCGCTGCCTCGATGAAAGTCGAGACGCGCTGCCTCGACTCACTCGAGACTTCCTCCGACTGTGCCTGCTGCCATTCATGTAAAAAGTTCTGGAAAGCTTCTGAGTCCGCAGCCTCGACCTGAGGCATTGCTTCATCAGAGTGAGTGGGTGCACCCGTATCCACCCCAGCCTCACCACCCGTCCCCCCACCACTGTCAGAAGCAGCAGGAGCAGCTCCACTGCCTGCGGCTTCCTTCTGGGCAACGGATTGGCAGCTGGTCTTGAGTTTGGCCCAGCCCTCACGAATTGCGGCCAGGTCGCCAGACTCCAGCACGCTGTCGAAGTTGGACAAATGCCCCTGGAGCTCCGCCTGCGGCGGGGGCGGGAGGTCGGCCACCTTGGCCGCCAGCTCCAGGTACCTGGCCTTGAGCTGCACCTGCTGGGTTGCGGTCTCCGCCCTCTTCTCTGAGCCTCAGATGCCTGCTGCCGAAGGGGACGAGCTTCAGACTGCTGGGAACGGATGGCTGAAGCCGACGCCGCGATGGAGCTGGCCACTGCTGCACGCTCTGGGAAATCGTCCTTGAGCTGACCCATGAGCAGCTGAAGCTGGGCGAGGAGGGACGACGGGTCAGCAGGATGAGCCAAAGCGCCTCCACGACCACCAGGTCCTCCCCCGACGCCGCCGCCTCCGCCACTCCCAAACCCGCCTTTGCCACGTCCACCACCTTTGGGTCCTTGACCTTTGTGAGAACCTTTTGGGCCTGGAACTGCTGGGCCACTTTGCCACGCACCCCCAGGATCGCGAGGAGCGCCAGGAGAAACGTGCGGAATGGGGGCCCAACAATTCGCACACCATTTGTACCACGGTTTGTTGCACTTCGCAGCACCACACGAGAGACATTTCGCACCGATGATCTCATGCTGCTTTGGTCCCATGGGAGACGCCGCGAACGATGCTACAGTCTGAACGAGCCACTTGACCCGCTAGCGCAGTGTGCCGTTCTGAAGTATAAGCTAGCAAGCCCAAATCACCTGGGCCAGAACGGCTGCGGAGGGAGGAGGGAGGAGGGGGGGAGGGCGGAGGGAGGAGGGAGGAGGGGGGAGGGAGGAGGGAGACCTGAGAGCACCCCCGAAGAACGCCCCCTCAGCGAGGCGCAGCTGCCAGAACGCCCCGCGAGGCAGAAAGCCACCGACGACACCGTCTGCAAAAACGGCGCTCCATCCGCCCCCCAAACCTCCGACGTCTTGTGATGGTTTCAGTGAGGGGTCCCTGGGTGTCCCGACCCGTGCCCCGGGTCGTCGCTCTTTGATGGTCCAGGGGACCGGCGAAGGCTCCCTTAAGCCGAGAACACCAAGAACAGCAGAAATCGTCCCTCGTGCTCTTGTCATCACGCGGCAGGAGAACCTCCATGGAGGCCTCTCAGACGGGGTCAGAGTACTTAGGGTCAGAGGATCGCGCCGCATCGTCCATGCACCTTGTGTCGTTCCCTGAGATCCGACGTTGCAACAAAAATTGCAACATCACAAAAATCACGTCCGGGGCCCCGGACCTCATCTTTCTGCGTCATTTTTCGAGCCCGATCGATCTGTGAGGCTCCCGGGGCCCGAAATCGAGCGAAAACGCCCGTTGCAAAAAAAACGCCAGGATCTCAGGGCTTCCTCCATCGGCAACGCCGCGTCGAGCTCGAGCTCGAGCTCAGCATCGAGCCGCACCGTCGACGCGTCGATGCATCGCATCGTCGATCCGGAGCGACCCTTCCACCCTCAGCCACTCGGGCCCCATCTGGGAAGCCTGGACTGAAGCAGGAGAACCTCCAGCAGCCGACGAACACGCCCGGAAACGCCCCGTCAGCCGAGGGGCAGCTTCAAGGGGCCCTGGGACACACACACACACACACACACACAGAATAGATACACACACACACACAAATCCTGGGACTCCCCACCTCTTCCCCTATACTTCCTGGGCCTTCGCCTTCCCCCTCACTTCCCATACCTTCCCATATTTTCTCCTGGGAGTCGACGCTTCCATCCCAGACCCCCGACGTCATGATTTTTTCATGACGCGACCCCCAGAGGTCCAGAGCCATTCCCCGGGACCGGTTGTTCATCCCGAGTCGTTTTTTGACGGTCCCGAGGTCCGGTAAGGGCCCTGAGAGGGCGAAAATAGCGAAAAACCTCCCGTCGTGAATTTTTCATGACTCGAGGAGGTCTGGGATTGTGTCTGTGTGTGCTTTCCCCTCCTGACAGCTGGCAGCTCCTCGGACGCCGCGCCCGCCTCGCGCTGGGCCCCAGCGCCGCACGCGGGCGCCGCGCGGCGCCGGCGCCCCGCCGCGCAGCGGCCCCCCCTGACGCCCGCCGGGGGTGTCTTTTCCAGGCTGTGCTGGTGCTAATAGGAGGAGGAGGAGGAGGAGGAGGAGGAGGAGGAGGAGGAGGAGGAGGAGGGGAGGGAGGAGGAGAGGAGGAGGAGGAGGAGGAGGAGGAGGAGGGGGAGGGGAGGGGGAGGGGAGGGGAGGGGGAGGGGAGGGGGAGGAGGAGCGAGGAGGAGACAGGAGGAGAGGGGAGGAGAGAGGAGGAGACAGGAGGAGAGGGGAGGAGAGAGGAGGAGAGAGGAGGAGGGAGGAAGAGGAGGAGGAGGAGGCGGAGGAGGAGAAGGGAGGGGGGCGCGAATCAGCAAACGCAGGGGAAACCCCCTGCTCGTCCTGGCGCCGGAAATGCGCCAGAGTTTCGAGGCGGCCGCTCGGCGGCGGGGCCGAAGCCGGCTGCACGCTGTGGGCGATTTCGGAAACCCTGAGACCAAAAACCTTCTCATCTCTTGGGGGCACACTCTTGACTTCCGCCGCCCTCCGCCGAGCTTCCGCCAGCGGAGGCGGCCTCTTTCGCTACCGCCGCGGAAGAGATGACAACTCCTTCTATCCTCGAAGGCAGTGTCTTTTTTGGAACGCCCCATACGCTGAAAAAATGCCTCGCGTGGATGGATTGGTTCTGCTACGGGAAATAGCTCCCCTGCCTCCTGCGGCAACGCATGGAGGCCTCCCATACTATCCTGTTCCCTGACTCCAGATCCGGCCTACTTTGGCTTTTTTCCCAACCTAAAATTGCTTCGGAAATCCACCTATAAGAAGCCGAAAAAGAAAGGCGGACATTTCTGCACCCAACACAGAATAGAGCGGAAATCCACAGAAGTAGGGCGGAAACAGCAACAGAAAAGTAGGGCGGTAATTGGCATCAGCAGGGCTTGAAAAGTAAGGCGGAAATTCCAAGCCCTACTTACGAATTTCCCCAAAGTAAGGCGGATCCGAAGTCAGGGCTGGCTCTTGCGAATCGACGCTAATCGACGCTAAATCGACGCTGATCGACGCGAGTCGACGCTGATCGACGCTGAGTCGGGGCTATCTCGTCGATTACCAGACGCTAGCCGACGCCAGTGCAGTCTTAAGACGGAACTACAGGGGGTACACACAAGTCCCCCACGATGTGTTACAGAACTCTCCCCTGTCGCCTCGTCGCTCGTTGCTCCCTCTGTGCTCGTGACCTCGTCGCCCTCCTGTGAATCTTGCTGTGTATGGCAGCGGTCACTTCGACCAAGTACTGAGTTCTACGGCTCTGGCATGCTGACGTGGCCCTGCGGATGAGGAGGAGGAGGACGAGGAGGAGGAGGAGGAGGAGGAGGAGGAAGAGGAGGAGGAATAGGAGGAGGAGGAGGAGGAGGACGAGGAGGAGGAGGACGAGGAGGAGGAGGCACCTGATGGAGAACCAGCCCTGCTGCAGCCAAGATAGCTCCCGTAACGCCACTGACACCCTTCGGCGTACGCCGCGTGGTTAGAAGGCAAGGCCAGGACAAGGACACGGGGCAAGGCCTGGACGAGGACAAGATTGGACCAGCACACATCGTTCTCATATAAGGCAAGGCCAGGACAAGGACGCAGGGCAAGGCCAGGACGAAGACAAGATCGGACCAGGTCAACATCGCTCCTGCAGCGCCACCCACACCCTTCGGCTCACGCCGCGTAGCTGGAAGGCAAGGCCAGGACAAGGACACAGAGCAAGGCCAGGACGAGGACAAGATCGGACCAGGACAAGTCGCTCTCGTATAAGGCAAGGCCAGGACAAGAACACAGGGAAAGGCCAGGACGAGGACAAGATCGGACCAGGTCAAATCGCTCTCGCAACGCCACCCACACAT